TTTGCCATTGAAAACCTTGAAAGATTCTGTGATCCATTCAGATAAAATTTGCGAATGCTAATAAGCCTTTTGATTATCATTACCTAGTTTAGAGTTAGTATCTGTAGGTATTCAGTATATTACTGTCCTTCTTACCAGTTAGTGACAATATAACTTAAAACATAGAGTTAGCATGGATTCTTTTGTAATCCATGTAAATAAAAAGATTAGACTTGATAGCATGTATAAATGAACAAAATGATCAACCCTAGCAACTGATTTAATTGCCTCCAAGTCAGAGACCAGCAAGGGAAGCTTGATTGTTAAAAAGGGGGAAATGGTTACATTTGATAATGCAATTTAAACTAATCCCTCGTTCACCAAATAATTACCATTCATTAAATATGTGCCAAAGAGTCAAAGACAAGGTACAGTCCCCATGTTTAAGGAGCTTGCATTATAGTAGATAGTCAAACGTCCATTTGTCTTCCACAATACTTAGTAGAAGCCTTGCACGTAGATGTCCTAAGTTAATTCACTCAGCATATAGTTATTGAGTGCCTGGTATAAGCCAATAGTAGTTGACAGATAACGTCATGCCACCATCTGGCTAATGGGTGCTTCTTGGGAATTGCAAATATGTCCATACTTTTCATTGGTTACTATAGAAATTGAAGTCGGAAATTGCCTTGCATTCTTCCAGCATATACTTGTAGATAACACTTTCTTAATTAGAGAGAGAAAGGGGTTAAATTAATTGGACTTCCTATAGCAATGTAATTTGTTTCTCACAATGAAAACTGTTCTGCATTGAGAGGGGTTTTTTTGTTTGTTTATTATTGACTAGAATTTTCTAACTCATGTTTTTTAAGGAATTTTTTTCTCAATTTTAGTGTATTCTACAAATATTACTGTGGTAGCAAAATCAAACAAAATTTTAAAGCAAGAAGAATTAGCCTGTAACTTACCAACTTTATGTTTTGTATCTTTTTTTTTTCAAATCACGTGGTATCTTAGATCGGTAGTTCTCAGCTAAGGGCGATTTGCTCTCCACCCCTACCCCTGGGACATTTGGCAATGTCAGGAGACATTTTTGGTTGTCACAACTGGGTGAGGGTTTAGGGAGAGATCATTGGCATCCAGTGGATAGAGACTGGGATGGTGTTAACACCTGCAAGACAGAGAACAGCCCTCTACAACCAAGAATTGCCGGGCCTGAAATGTCTTAATACCAAGATTGAGAAATCCTGTTTTAGGTAGTATGGTGACTAGTGAAAAGCATATGAACATTATACATAACATGTAACACCAAAATATAAGAGATTAAAAATAGGTATTTTTTTTCCTCTTTTTTTTTATAAAATCAGGATGTTCGTTTTAGTCAACCGATGGCTTTTGAGTACTATCTCCATTCCAGGAGGGACAGGTTCCAGATATTTTGAAGGCATAAGGTCCCAGTTCTCAAAGAGCACACATTCTCAAAACAGAGATGAAATATAAATTTAAAAGTTACAAAATAACATGCTAAGTTTTATTATGGAGCTAAGCAGTAAACAGCTTTGTTTGGGTGCATCAGAGAAGGCTTGATGGAGGAGGCGAAGCTTGAATAGTTTGTAGAAATTATGCACCAACTTGAATGCTCACTCAGATGCCAGTTAGAAAAGGACACTCCAAGCAGAGGGCATACCCTGTGTAAAAGCCTGGAACCTTGTTAAACAGCAACAATTGTAAGTACACAACAATTGTAAGTAGCAACAATTGTAGTTTAATTATGTGAAGATGAGTCTGGAGTTTTAGGCAGAAGCCTTTTAGGAGAGCCTTGGAGCCAAGGAGTTTGGAATTGAACCTGAGGGCAGGGATGCAATACCATTAATGCCCATTTTTCAGAGACCACTGTGAAGGTTGTGTCTGTGTGGGATGGAGATGAGAAACCCTCTGGGAGAGTAGTTTAACTGACTCTGTGAGAGATCATGGAGGTCTGAGATAACAGGACGGGCTGATTGTCAGGACTTGGCATCTCGAATGGTTTGGGGGGATGGTATCTAAAGAAGACGAGAAAGGATGGTTTCCACATTTCGTCTTGGGGATTTTGTGTATGATGGAGCCATTAACCAGGATCGGAAATATGTGGGAGGAGGCAGAGCAAATTTGAAAAGTGGGTGATAGAAAGGTTTGTTTTCAAATATGTTGTTTTTGAAGTATCTATGGGACGTGTGTTTTGCTCAGGAGCTTGTTGAATACTTGTCTGATTGTGATTATTAGGAATGGCACAGAAGAAGCTCTGTGGCCTAGGAGTTAGGAATCCTATTTCTGAATTTGCCAGTGATTGTTGATAAGGCCTTGGAAGTATTACTTTTTTTTTTTCACCTGTAATGTTTAGATTGTGGTGATGGGAACATACCTCTTAGGGGGCAGTTGTTTTAAGTGATATTGAGCTAAAGAATAAATAATTGAATATTATAAGGCATTTGAAAAATTGTAGTAGTTGAACATTCTTGGGGCTGTAGCAACTGTTTACCAAGATAAATGTCTATATACCCAAGTTAGGTTCCTAAGATCACTTACGTTGACTGCATTTGAATAACATTGGCTGAGTTGCATGGATTGCCTCTGGTATAGTTTAGATAGGCTTTTTGTTTTTTTCTTTAGACTTGTCATTACTCAAGTATAGCTTGTGCATTAGAAGAAAAACTTTGTCTTACTGCTTATGACCAAACCCTTGTGCTAAGTATTGTTTATACTGTCCACTATTAAAAAAGTACGATAGATGCTACCTTAAAAATGTTCACAGAAAGTGCATTAGCTAATAAACATGGAAAGAAAAACAACTGTAAAATGCTTGCCATTGCTGGGTTGTTTTCATGTTCTTCCTTGAGGCGTCTCTGTCCATCCGCCCTTCGAGCAGGAAACAGTATAAGGTTTCTTATGATTGTTACTACTCACACATTGTAAAGATCTTTTCCCTTTAATCTATTTAATACAGGATCTATTTAGCACTGGCCTGTGTCCCAGAATACCATCAGAGATAAGGCTATTATCCTTTCATTGAGCATTATCCTGGGAAAGTATTTATAAAATTGAACTCTGTTGCACCTGCTGACCTCCTTTTTCTAAATGAAGAAAGGGTGGGGATGGAGATTATGTTCACTGAATTCAGCTGGAGCCGTGTGTTTGACAGCACCGACACAAAGTGCTTTAGTTAGGGCCTGTTATATTGTGCAAATTGATTCCATCTTGGACTCTGAAAGAAATGAGTTGACAATTCAGATCAGGAGTTGATGATCACACTGGGTGCTCTGCAGTTATTGGCACAATTGCTATTTTTTCATGCACCATTCTATAACAGGGCTCCCAGCTATTTCGGGGATTAGTCTAAAATGTTTGCTTTGCCGTTGCTGTCATGTTTTCTCTAAAATTGTTATAAATGGAATTAGGTGGCATTACCTTCATGCAGGAAAGACTAATTTGAGGAGAGTTAGATATTTAATATTTTGCTTCACTTAATGTAAGTCATTAAAGTGTTGAAAAGAACGATAAAAAACAATTTCGAAAACTTGGTTTCCTACTGAGTCTGTCTTACGAAGCTGAAGAAACTTGAGCAGTGCCATGTAACTTTCACGTATCTCTAAAAATATTTTACGTTGTCAACTTATTTGAATTATCTGTAGATGCTACATGTGTTTTTGTAAGTATGCTATTACAGCCCACGTATTTTAACACTTGGCATGTTGGTTGCTGGTTTGGGGGCAGCATTATTGAATTAAATGCAGGTTTGTGGCTTTCTAAAATTTCCTTTGATTGATGGGGCAAGAAATACATGAAATAAGATTACTCCCAATTTTGTTGTCTCAACAAATCTTTTTTCTGTATTCCCTTCTAGTTTCTTCTCACATCCTCACATGATGTTTCCATAAGTATTTCAGTGTTAAAATCTGCCATTTTTCCTTCACATTATATTTTAAAATTTTTCCATGGTGGCACATTGTAAAAGTCTATTATTAATAATAATATAAATACAAAGCTATTCTATTTGTATTTAATAATAAAATTAGTACTCTGTTAGGAACATCAATTAATGAAATATAAACAGTGTACATGATATAATACAGCCTATATCTCCTCAGCTAACACTGTCTTTTGTACAATGAACCTTACAGCATTTTAGTTGCTATGTTACAAAACTAACAGGTCAGTAAAATAAGATCTGTCAAGGATTTGATGGACTGTATTCATCTGAATGTTGTGTATTGTTTACAGATACAAGAAATAGACGATTGCATACCTATTCTAGGATTGAATTGAAGCTGTTTTAAACTATCTGAACACTGAGGATCCTTTTATCAATTTATCAGTTTTATCACTTTGTTCAGTTTATTTATAGTTAGCATGTCCTGCCTTTTAAATTAATAAAAAGTAGTGTATTATCTGATTGCGCATGTGCTGCATGCAGTACTTTTAAATATTTAGAAAAGGAACACATAGAAAAGAGAGGCAGCATGTGCCGTTGAGTACAGGTTTTGTAGTCAAAGAGATCTTGAGTTTAATCCCACCTCTGCTACTTAATGTCTTTTGGGGCGAATTATTTCCCTTATCTCTTAGCTTCTATTTCCTCCTCTGTAAAGTGGGTTTACAGTACCTGCCGTGGAGTTTTAGTAAATGATATAACTAACATATATGGGGTGAGAGGGGAGTTCCTAGCATGACAGGAGGCGGGGACAGGTCCGTCACCCGTCCTGAACATTCTTCTTGGGGTGAGAAAGGGCTGCCCTTGGCCTCATCCTCAGAAGAACTGGGGCTGGCAAAAACTCTTGGTTTTTTTCGATAGGAGAATTCTATCATGTTTCTTTTCTTCGGTTGTTTGGAGACATTTCTGGATGCAGTTTAGTCAGTTACAATTAAAGGTCATCCTTTAAAAATATATATATATATATATATATATGTGTGTGTGTGTGTGTGTAAATTAGTAAGACAATTTATTCAGACTCTGCTTGCTAGCTAACATACAGCTTTTCTTTCAACAGGCTCAGCACTATGTAGCTACAACCTAAAGCCTTCTGAATATACTACAGCAAAAGCTTCTGGTCTTTGTCCCAAACTACCAGTTCCAGCGAGGTAAATTTTATTGCATTTTGTTAACTTGTGACTCTTGTTTTTATTGGTAGACTTTAAACTGTATATGCTATTCTGAGAAAAGAGTTGCTTGATGATACCACTTGGCTTGCATCAGGATTCAAAAAGTAGTAATAGAAATGACAGCATGTAATGTATATTTTAAAAAACACACACGGGCAAACAACTTTTCTCATTATCAGGTATCTTAAATTTCTTTTGGGAGCTTACTTTTTTTTAATGCCATAATTTAATTTTTAAAGTATACAAAATGTCTGAATCACTGTAAAATCTACAATAAACTTAGAAGCCAAGTCCCACAGTCTTCAAAGACTCTTTGAAGTTGATCTTAGTGATACTTATGGGAGTTACTTTTTAATTTACTTTGTAAATTTAAAAAACATGCCAGTCATTATTCTCTGTACTTTATTTCAGGTTCTATCCTTTAGGTACATTCTTTGCAATAGGCTGTTTGCCATATTTAAGATCTTATTCATCATGCATTTATTATTAACTACCTACTCTGTGTAATGGATACAAGGATGAGGAAAAAAAATCTCACAGTAGTTATAAGTAAAGCACATTTTAAAATTGCACATAGATTTTTAAGAAAGGAAATAAATTTTCCAGCTCTGTAGAATATAGCCTCACAATTAGGTAATTAGGATTTGGCACATTGTCTGATCTTGAGAACCTTGGTGTGTATCGTGTGAGTCAACTTCTCCAGGAATATTGAATTGACACCACTTTTATTGTATCTCAGCATATTATAGCAAGCTATTGGTTAAAATTCTGAGACTCATGTCTGCTTTCTTATGGATTGCTTACTGCACAAGGAACCTGTGCTTTATTAACTTGAATTTGAAATTTTCTGTTGAAAAGTGGACAAAGGCTATATCAGTTAAATTGATTTCAGCTTTTAGTCTTGTCAAGTTACTATTGATGTTAAAATTTAAAGCCTTTGAACATAAAAATAAAGGGACCGTTTTAAAAGATACTAAATAAGAGGAATCTACAAATTATGGACTTAGACCAATAGTTTGGGAGACTCCATTCATGAAAATTGAAACTATTAGGAAGGCTGTGACAGTAAAGAAAAGGAGGTTCTTTGAATAGAGTCATTGGAGAATATTTATCAATGTAAAAACAAGAAGCTCCATCCTCTTAGTATTCAACTGCTAAAGCTTGTTTTAAATGCGTACGCTGAGTATAGAGTCACTATTTTAGGGCATAAACATATTAGAAAAGGATAACCAAAAAGCCTAGGTATGAGAATGAGATTGCTCTGCTCCTGTATAATACAGGGGCGGGGATGGGGGTTGGGGGGCGGCTTGCACTGCAAATCTCCCCCCCACCTCGATCTCTGATTCTACCATGTTGAGGACTGCCCGGTTCTGGCTGTCTTGGGTGTTCCCGTCTTGGCTGCACACACACGCGCATCTCACATGGAGCAGCCCAAGGACATTCGCCAGGAGACACAGCATAGGATTAGAGACGAGGGTTTTAGAGATGGACAGACTTGGCTTCTAACAAGGTCATCCACTAATGGACCAGGAATCCAAGATGCGATGATGAACCTATGCCATCCGCAAACTGGCTGTATATACTATGTTTATACTTTCTTTAAAGTTCCTCATGTTTTATTTATTTTAGTACCTCACAATCTAAGTGTCTTATTGTCTCTTTTGTCTGAACTCAACCTGTTGGAAAGTAAAAGAGAAGAAATGGTTAATGGAAGGAAGATAAATTAGGACCTTGTAAATATCATCATTTAGTATTGGACAAGCAAAGTGAAAGGATCAGAACACAGAATAAAGTTGTTTTAATAAAAACTTTGGGACACAACCTTGTTCCACACTGGTATTAGATACCAGATCTAAAAAGATAACTAAGATCTAGTCTCTGTCCCCAGGAAACTGTGTCCTTAAAAAAAGGAGAGACTATGTTTTTATATATGACTTTTTTTTTTTTTTAATGCCCCAAAGACCAGCACTAGGCAAACCCATGTTGCAGGCAAATGGGCCTCAGTATCTTTCCTATGTCTTCAGGATCCTAGGAGCATCCTAGTGGGACAGAGAGAGCTGAACTTTGAGCTTAGATAGGCCTGGGAGTGAATTCTGTGTCACCACTTTCTGTTTGTCGTCTTGAGCAAGTCTCTTAATCTCTCTGTAAACCAAGTTTTCTCATATTTAAATGGGAATTTAATACCTCTGGCATGGAATTGTAAGAATTCCACAAGATGTGTTACATGTCCATTATTGTACTTGGCATTTGGCTTAGGGAATATTATTTCTCTCAATCTCTAGAGCCTCCCCCTTACCCCCAATCTTCTTGGGCACCCAGGTACCTTCTGTGGCTGAAAGCAGTGTCTGTTTTAGATAAAAAGATACTGTAAACTAATTTGTAATAAAACAATAGCACATTATTGCCGAATGGTTACTATTCCTAAGATTTTTGAATTTTACAATCAAATGCCTAAAAGGGCCATATTTTACCCAAATTCTTACCTCTCTGTTGGTGACAATGCTAAGCATGGTAGCAATAGGGATACTAGGTAGCCCATATACTTACAATGCTTACACCTTTAGATAGAGCTAGAGATAATTGCAATAGTAGAAACAGATTACATAAATTTAGGTTCCTCATCAAACGTTTATTTTGGTACTTTTAGGTGCCAGAGAGCATACTGGGTGTTGGGGAGTTAATAACTTAATACAAAAATGAGAAACTAACAGCCAAGAAAAAAATAGTGCTTATTTATATTTTTTAAATGAAGGATTAAAGGTAAATTAACATTTGTAATTATCTACTGTGTGTCAGCCACCACATTAAGCTTCTCATGTGTATTATTATCTCATTTAACTCTCAAAAAAGCCGGTAAGGATACTGTCCCAATTTATAGATGAGGAAATAGAAGATAAGAGAGATTAAATGAGTTATTCAAGGCCACACAATTAATTGTTGGGAGTCAGCATTTGAATTAAGATCTTGTAAAGGTTATACCACAGTTAATTTAAAAAGAAAGAGTACAGGAATGAAAAAAGAGAAAAAAAGTGAAACATATGAAAACCACTGTGCATTGCCATTAGTTTCTTGACTTACTTATTTCCTGCCTTTTCTGTGCTATAGACATATTGCCACAACCCCCTATTGTTCTTGTTTCTTAAATAAAACTTTTAATAGAAATCATGTGTAATTGCTTATTTATAACCAGAAGGTTCTTTTTAATTGAGGTAACATTGGCTTATAAGCCTATTATTAAGTTATGTAAGTTTCAGGTGTGCAACATTATAATTCAGCATCTGCATATACTGCATTATCTCACCACCAAAAGTCTAGTTTCCATCTGTTACCATGTAATCCACCCCCTTTACCCGTATCACCCTCCCTCTACTCCCCTTTCTCTCTGGTAACCACCGATCTTTTGTCCACCTCTGTGAGTTAGTTTTTGGTTTTTGTTTTAAAAACAAGTTTTAAAATAATTGTGTGAGATGCAAACTCCTGTCTTCTCTTATGAAGGCGTATGGATAAAAAAGCTGAGACATTGTTCGTCACCCTGCTTTGAGGGTGCTCATTAACCCTGATAGTCTGGACTGAAAGGCAAATGCACAGTATTTTTGCCACAGTAAGATACAATTTTCCTATGAGTGGCTAATTAAGAAAAAAAATCTTTAAAAGATTCATTATACATTCATCCTGTTCTTGTTGGCTAATGTTTCAATAATGTGAAACAGCTTCAGTTCTTAATGGGACTACATTGACTTCTGAAAGATTCGATATTTTGTGGGCTTTGGAAAGTAGTAAAACTTACTAGAAATATAATTTGTTAAGCTTGTCCTCTTAATTAAGAAGCACAGAGTATATCATGTAGGATAGATACTAAAGTAGAAATGGTCTCATATACTAGGTTCTCAGAATTACTATTTTCTGAGGGGTCAGCTAACTCATCTTAAATTCATTATATCACATGGGATTTAAACAGTAAACTGTAAGAGACCACATCAATGCCATGATTACTTAGATTTTTTTAAATAAAAAAATAATTCAGGTATTAAAAACTCATAGCTGGTTGAATTGTTTTTGTTTGAGGAAGAGTTGAGGGGAAAAAAGAACATATAAGGGAAACTAGTGCTTTTTATTTTGAAGCTAAGTATTTAATTTTTTACTCCTGTGTCCAAATAGTATGTTCTCTTTTATTTGCCTTCTATTTGCATACCAGTAAGAACAGATTTTGACCATCTACTAGACAATGTAGGTAATCAGCTTGTGCTAAGTTTATAACCTTCAAATTTAGAGCAGTCAGGGTTTTTTTTTAACTGACATAGATTGAATTATAAAGTAAAGGACTGTTATTTTGCTTCAGTTCTTAGAAGGATACATGTAAAAATAGTCTTCCTAATTGGCCACATGTTTACATACAGTATAAAAGTGACTTGGAAGGATAAGTTCAGAGCAGCTATTACTCGGTATTTCCTCCTAAAAAAATGAAGGATTAGAATTTTAAGATCAGAATCCTTCCCTTTTCAAATCATCTGTTCTCATCCTAAGTCTGAAAAGCAGAAAAAGACTAAAGATATTGGGCATGCTGCTCCTATTAATTTAAGATCATTGATTTATGGGTGGGCATGTTTTATTATTATTATTGTTGTTAGTAATATCTGAAAAGACTGAGAATTGACTCCTACTCTTTCAACTAACAAACAGATGGAGAAACAGAGAGAGATGGAGTGACATGTCCCTGTATAATGTTAGGAGAATTACCCCAGGCTTTGGAACCCAAGTCCAGTTTTCTTTATCACAGGCTCTGTTCTCTTTTAGAAGTGATGTGTGTTGTTCTTAGAGCATAAAAATACATCGACATCCTGTTCGGATGTGAGAGCTGTAGGTGGAGCCACGTCTGGATAAAGGATAAAGTTCACTGTGGTTATCTGACAGAAAGAGCGAAACAGGAGAGCAGGGCCGAGAAAATCGGTGGATATTATTGAGTTATCGGAAAAGTCATGATGCATTTCTACAACGAAAAACGTAGAAAAAAACACATCATGACTTTTCCGACAACCCAATAAAAATAGGAAAAAGATATCAGTATCCTTAACGCGGGTATATTTTATGTTTAAGGTTGGAAGCAAGAGAGTTTAACAGAGGTGTTACGTCAGAGATAACAGGGTAATAAATAAAGCGAGTGAAGATGTACAAAATTGTGGTTCAGAGAGGACTTCAGTTTTGAAGGATAGAGAACCAGGATTAAAAATATGGTTAGAAGTCCTTAAACCAGGGACATTAAATTGGTGAGGACAGTGTCTAGACAGCATCAAAAACAAAAAAACAAACAAACAAAAAACCTTTGTTGTAGGTCCCAACAAAGTTACCAGCTTATAGGTTTCTTTCCCAAATCAGCTTGCATTGACTTAAGAATTTACAGTTCATCCTGTTTATTTCCTGTAATTGTGATTAAATCCATTTCACTTAAAAGTATTCTGTAATTTAATATCTTTGTATGTCATTAGTGAAAGTTTATTATATCATTAATTGAAGTTTAACAGCATGGAAGATGTTGCTTATTCTTACTCCCAGTGGTGCTCATTTACCAGCATTTAAGGAAAATCAATACATACTTTACCTATATATTCTTTTTTTTTTTAGGAAGAAAACAAAGGTAGTGTTTTGCTTGGGGTCATAAGACATTGCTTTGTTGAGATTAGAAACCTTGGTATTTGGTGCTTAACTATATAATCTTAGCCACTCATTTGACCAAAATACCATGCCAACCAAGAATAAGAACATAATTATATCATTCCAGTAAAAAATGTCATATTAGAGCTGTGACTGATAGTCCTACAAATAATTCTGAAGATGTGAAGTTATGTTAGCAATGGCTAAAGTTTAACTTAATGCGTACCTACATGTGTATTCGTGCATTGATTGACACAATATGGGCTCTCATGGAATCCAAACAAATCAGAACTGAGGGCATGTTCATGGAGCTTTGTTTAAAATCTCATTGTTTAGCTGTCTACCATTCTCTCAGAAGCTAAAGTAGAACCATGTTAATATGTGACATGATTTATGTCACAGTTCACACACAGCTATGCTCCTTCACAAGTAAAAGCTGCCGTCTGTATAAGCCTGACATAACAGATTACCTCTTTTTTGGACACAAATAATCTCATAATAACAACGTATAAAATGAAAGTAAATATCTCAGAACCCCATGACCCTACCAAATCAGTTTATGTTTTTTCTGTTCTCATTCTTATGTGTATATCTTTTATACAGAGATGCAGTCATCACATTAGATGTAAATTTTTAGTGTTTTCCCTTGTACTCTTACATCACCAGTATTTCCATATGTTAGTATTCATGGTTATTGTTTTAAATAGCTGCATATTATGCTGCCTGTTGATGTCTTGGCATGACTTAATTTATATAAGAGGTATTAAGCTTGTGCCCAAACACCTTTTTTAATCTAAGGTTTTATATGCTGTTTTGATAGGGAAACATTCTATTAATGGTGGCACATTTCAAGCAAAAGCACTTTTTTTTTTAAGTAGCTTATGGCAAAAATTCATTTTTAGTTCAATGGAGTATATGTTTGTAAGTTTGTCATCTGTCCCTTGATTGATAGATGTGTAGGCTGAGGAGTTTTAAGTGTTTGGTTTTGCTTTTGGTAGTTTTGTATGTGTGTATATGTGTGTGTGTTTCTTTTCAGAAGGGGAGGGTAATGTCTTCTGTTGGAATATGCACTCCACCCTCTTTGATAAGGTTTGTGGTAAGATTTGCATCAATACCCATGACTGTCATCTTCATAGCATTAAGCTCACAGCTCTTAGCTCCCATATGATGTGTGGAGGGTGGAGTGTATTGCAGTCATACTCACCTTTCATTTGTGTGTTTGATGTGGCATTTATATTAAGTAGGAGTAATTTTTTTTCTGATTTTTTTTTCTTGTGTCACCAGTGCACCTATTCCATTCTTCCATCGCTGTGCTCCTGTGAACATTTCCTGCTATGCCAAGTTTGCAGAGGCCCTGATCACCTTTGTCAGTGACAATAGTGTCTTACACAGGCTGATTAGTGGAGTAATGACCAGCAAAGAAATTATATTGGGACTTTGCTTGTTATCACTAGGTAATTGTTTTTCTCATTATTAGCTATTGCATAGTACTGCAGTAGAAGACTGTTTTGTCTTTTAACCAAAATATGAACACGACTGGGGATACTTGTAAAATGTTTTACTTCCCATAGCCAAAATAATTGTTTCAGATTATATATAGTTATAAATATATATACATCTGAAACTCATTTCTTTTCTTTTTCTCTCATTGGAGAAAACTGGTGTTTTCCCAGACTTTGCTAAGTCTATAATAACCTTTAACATTATAGCAGGAGGCTTCTTTTAATGAATCAATGCCCCTTTGTTTTTAGTTATGAATCTAATCTTTGGCTGTTTGCTTATAAAAAGAGGCCACAGAGTTTCTTCTATATTTCCATCGAAAAACATAGATTTCTGATAGGTTAGTTTTGAAATACATTTTTTTTTCATTGCAACAGTTCATAATATCACTGTATTGCTGGAAAAATTAGTAAATCTCCACTTGTTAGCCATTGAGTTTTCTGGTCAATAAGTAGATAATATTATCAAATAAAACTGTTATTTTCACGATGTAAGCTCCATTAGCCTAGAACTATATGTGGCCATATCAGAATTTATAGACTTTTCTAGTTGGGAGAAGTAAGCTGTGGTAGGAACCAACCACTTCATTATATAAATGAAATGGGTCTTTATGCCTCTTAACAACAATTATAGTCATTGAGAAGACTAGCTGTCTTTCCATCTTGTCATTAGAGAGTATTTTCTTTTTGCTCAGGTAGTGCTTGATTCAATTGAAATAATGCTATCCATATGAAAAGCTATTTCTATGATATTTGAAACACTCCCATCGGTTTTTTTGGTTCCTGTACATTTATTGCAAAAGCAAGTAGTTTAATAATGTTAACTAGTCACAGATCCTAACCATTTATTCAGCTCTGCAAACGGCCCAAAGAGACTTGACTGTTAGCCTAGCTTTATATAAAAATGATTTGGTTTCTGAAATAGTTGAATACCAAGGGAAAAAAACCCTAAACCTTAAAAATAGTGATAATAATGTTGTGAAGCCATTGAAATTCCCTGGTTTTTATTAGAATGGTTCTCTTTTGAATCTTAAGGTCTTTGTGCATTTGTTTGTGAAGTGGGCCTTTAGATAATTGAAGAGGAACAAATTATGATTTCAGAAACAAATTTCCCCCCTTACAAGGGTTAAATTTGCCCACTTTCTTTTTGGAGAGTTTTTACTCACGATTTTAGCCAGTTAGAATTTACCTGGGGATGGGAAGAAGAGTTGGCTAAATAACTCAAACTAAGTTTGGCTCCTTTTTGAAGAGCTTCTCAATCAGGACTCCTGACCCCAGTTGAGAAATGAGGTCAGTGGAATTTTGTCCTCAGGATACTATTCCTTAGGGTCAGATCATTTCTTGGAATTTTAGAGGAGAAACAACCAGAAAACAATAAAATACCTTCAGGCTTCTTGGCCAACCATCAGAAAAGTTGGTCCTAAAATGCATAGATTAGTCAGGGAAGGGTAGCACCTAATTTAACTGATCTCTGCCTACGTGTGATCATTTTTCTGGTCACCAACATGACATGTCATTCTCTATACTTTGTGTGTTGGCATGTGCGTTTGCATGTTGAGTGTGATGCCTTCCTGTGGTGAATCCACAACAGTTCTGCGCTGTTTTTGAGTCACGATGTGCATTTGCATGTATTATTTTCTGTCATTTATAAACCCGCAGTAAGGTGCCTTTAGTTTCATGTGATGCTATTTGAGTGGCACAAGTACCAAAGTCAAAGTGTAAAAGCAACCAGTTTCCTTTCTTACCTAAATTGGGGTCATGAATTTATCAGTAGCAACAAATTATTTCCCTAAGAGAAAACAATTGAAAGAGTCTTTCTTTGTATTTTCCAGTGTTTACAAATAATATTCTACATGTTCTCTATTTATCTTCCCTGCAGTTCTGTCCATGATTTTGATGGTGATAATTAGGTATATATCAAGAGTACTTGTGTGGATCGTAACAATTCTGGTCATACTGGGTTCACTTGGTAAGCTGCTTATTTCTTTGTTTTTCAGTAATTAAAATTGAGAATTAAAGATTGCTTTTGACACTCCCTCAACTCAGAACTACTTTGATTATTTTAAATAATTTTCTGCTTGTCAATTAAACTGTAAAAAGACTGGTAAGTGGATTATATTAAAGTCAGTTCACTGTGAGATCACTAAATCAAATAAAATGTCAGGGTCATCAGCATTTGAAGTAAAAGCAAATGGAGATTTTTTTTTTTTTTTTAAGGAGCTAATATACTTTTGTCAGTATTCATTTTGGGGGAAGAGCCCAAGAGAAAAGAAGGGAATTGAAGCTTTGTTCTGTTTCTGGTTCTTTAATTTTCACCTGATTTTTCCAGCGTTCCCTGCCCAGCAAGTGAAGGACCCTTTCTTTTTATCTTGTACTTTTTAAAGGCCTGAATCAGCCATTATAAGGCTCTGGTTAAAAAGTGTTCTTAGCTGGATAATAGAGTGTGTGTGTGTGTTTAAAATTTTATTACTCATTTTTCTGTCTACTGACATTCTATTTGTTTTTCTGTTTTTGTTTTACTGTTTATAATGAAACTTTCTGGACTGTCTGTGTTTATTGTCTTTTTTTAAAAAAAAAACAATTTCCCCTTCTGAGTTATAAATGTGATACCTACTCATGGTAGATAGATATAATTACTTCCATGGTGAAAAATAGAAATATAAAAAAGAAAATAAAAGTTTTATTTTCATGTGCTACATATTCTCTTTAAAGAAGAGTGTTTACTTTTGCCTTTAAATTTTTCATAATTATATTTACCCCCTCTTCACAATTCACCATTGTTAGCATTTGAAATCCAGACCTTTTTACTGTGAGAGAGAGAGAGAGGGAGAGAGAGAGAGAGAAATATATAATATAGTTAAATTTTTTTTAACCCAATGTACAAGTCTTTTCATAGGGGAGTTTGCCCCCATTACATTTATGATATTAACTAATATGTTTGGTCTTACGGCTGTTATCTGTTTTATGTTTTCCTTAAATTTATGCTTTCTAATTTTGTTTTTCTTGTCTTTGCTGTACGAACTATGTTTTCTTTGGTTATTTTCACCCTTACTTTGGACGGTATACATTTTAGTTTTATTTCTGCAGTTGGTAACTTATACATTTTCAGAAAATATTCTTTAATCTAGAGTTCTGTGATTATTGAAGGCTGAAATGAAATGGTATATGTACAGTTTTCTCCTACCTCTTTTAAACTGAGCATAAATTTTTCTCCTTTTCTTTCCCTTCCTACTCCCTTCTGCCCCACTCCCACTTTTTAGCCCTTGTTAAATATCTGAGTTTTTGTATTCAGGTTACTATTAAAGTTAAAATATTATTTGACATGCTGTATTTTTAAAAGGATTTTGCTTACCTTTACCTTGAAACGTTTCACAATTATATTTAAGTTTTCCTGTCTTAGTTTTAGTGAGAACCACTGGTCCTATTGTCATAGAACCTTATTCTTGAGTTCATTTCAGTTCATCTTTATTTTCACTGGAATCTGAATTCAAGTAACTTATTCATGAAGGACTTGAGGGTTATATATATTCTCAACTCTTGATTATCTAAGACTGTCTTTGCCTTCACATGTGAATATTGAATTTGTTGCATATAAAATTCTTTAGGTACAATATGTTCCCTTGTGTCTGTACTTTATTTCAGAGAGAACTTGGAGACTAGTACAAATTTTGTTCCTTTGACTTTAACCTGCTTCACTTATCTAGATGTTTATATAATTTTTTTAACTTATCCTTATAATAATTTACAATTTTTGTCTAATTCTGAATCTTAACTAAGTTAGCCTATGATCTCTTTTGGGGGTATCTTTTTCAACTTTGAAAAATTTTCTTTATTTCTGTATTTCATTATTGTTTCTGTTCCAGTTGTTTTCTTCTTACCATCATTGTTTGTTCTTCTGCTTTCATTTTCTAAATTACCATTTTAACTCTTCTGTCATTTTCTTTACATTCATGAACACAAGTTTATTTTTCATATCATTGATTCAGTTTTCTTCATTATCAGTTCTGTATTGACTACCTAATTTTCTTTTTCCAGTTTCATCTTATTTGTAATTCTTCCTTCTCTCAACCATCTTTCTTTTTATTTCAGTTTGTAGCCTTTGCATCCAATTCTGTGTTTAGATGATTTCTTAGTCAGTTTGGGCTGCTATAACAAAGTGTCTTATAACTAGGTGCCTCATAAACAACAAACATTTATTTCCACAGTTCTGGAGGCTGGGAACTTCAAGATCAAGGCACCAACAGATTCAGTCAGTGTCTGATGAGGGTCTGCTTCCTGTTTATGGCCATCTTTTCATTCTGTTCTCACATGGCAGAAGGGGCAAAGGAGCTGTCTGGGGTCTCTTTTATAAGGGCACTCATCCTATTCGTGAGGGCTCCACTCTTATGACCTGATCATTTCCCAAAGGCCCCACCTCCAAATACGGTCACATTGGAGATTAGGTTCCAACGTATGAGTTTTGGGGGGACACAAACATGAAATTCATAACAGATGAATAGTTTTTATAATAAGTGTAGATTGGAATCCCAGCTCTGCCACTTGCTAGGCATGTAATATTTGGCAAGCTACTTAACTTTTCTAAATGTTAATTATATCATTTGTGAAGTGGAACTAATAATGCTCACTTAATAGTATTGTGGTGACTAAATTTGGTTGCATCTATTACACAGTTCCTGGCACAAATTTAAGTGTTTGATAAATGCTATCTATTGTGGCTGTTGTGAACACGTCTTCTTTGATGTCATCATTATTATCTCATTCTGTTTTCCTTGAACTTGAACCTTTCTCTTATAACTTTTTATTCATGTTTGTGGAGAATGTATTTTCTTCCTTTTCCTTTTTTTTTTTTTTTGAGGCTATTAAATAGTTTCTTAAGTAATGTTCTTGTACCTTCAAGATTTCAAAATAGAAGTATTTCCCTTGCTCTGAAATATTTTTCATGGACTTATGGTTGTTTTGGTTTGTTTACTCATCTTCAATAGAAGAAAAATTCAGTATCTGCCAACAGGTAAGCGTATGGAGTTTCCCTTTGATTCATTCACTCTTTATTTTATTTTATTTTATTGTTAGTTTCAGGTGTACAGAACAATGCAATAGTTATCCTTTTCACCCTCACAAAGTAACAAACCCCTCCCCCCATCTACTGCCCTCTCCCCCCCCATATCATGCTTATCTATTACAATTCCATTGACTCCATTCCCACTCTCTACTCCGTGTCCCGTGACTATATGTATATATAATTCACTCTTTACTTGAGCGAAGATGGAGGTCAGGTTGATTTTCATAGATCTTAGCTCAGTTTCTTATTTCCCAGGCATTTATCTTGTCCACCACCTCCCCCACCCCTCACCACCCCAACGCACCCTGTACTCTGAATTTTCTATTTCCTTACTGTGGCCTGGCCTTCCAGTATGATCTGGTCCCCACATAGCTCGCTACCCACATCTGTTACACTGTCACCCTTGTTCACTGCATCCGCCTATCTCTTGTGCCAGGCATGAGCCTACTTCAGCATCTTAGAACTTACTTCTTGCCTGGAACACTCTTTCCTTAGATAGTTTCACAGATTGCCCTCTCCCCTGTCTCTGATTCTCTTGCTCCAGTTCATCTCACCAGTGAGGACTTGCTTATGCATCTTATATAAAATTGCAATGCTTTCCCAGCGCCAGCACTTTCTACCCCTCTTACCAGATGACGTTTTCCTTAGACTTAATATTCTATGTTTTTACTTTTTTCTTTGTGTCATTGTTTCCCCATTACTATATAAGCTCCATGAGAGGTGAGGGTAGGGATGGGGTTTTGGTCACTGCTCTATCTGTCCCTGACACTTTGAACAGGAGATGCTATTAGGCATTTAAAATATTCACTGAAGGGATTGAATGAAGAAGGTATCTGATGCAGCTCTCTTACATGGAGGTAGGTTTGCCTGTGTCTTAAGTCTAGTTCTTGGAATTTCTGAACAAGTAATAGAGATTAAAAACTCCATCCCTGGCACCTACTACTGGTGAAAGATTTCCTGTCTTGGTTCCTACCTTTGGTGGGAACTACTCTTTTGATTGTCATATACTTGTTGTACAAATACTTCATCAACGGCATAACTGTGTTGGCTCAGGGGTGACTGATGGGTACAGCAGAGAAGATCTTTGCCTTCCTCAGCTTCACTGCTCATTCCCATGACCCCTACTTGCTTCCTACAGGTGCTGAATCTCTCCTTGTGACCAATTCCTCTCAGGGGTATCTGTCTTTGCTGCTTCTCTCTGAGCTTCAGAGTCAATAATAAGCAGAGTTGAAGACAGTTTATTTGATACACTGGAAGATTTGTAAGTGTCTAATGTAGAAGATAATGAGTAATTGGAGCTCCCCTTATGCTGGCAAAACGTTACAGCCACCCGCTTCCCAGCCAAATGGATTGCTGCTGCATTAGTCCCACAGTGATGTGTAGGAATGGTCCAGAAAATGAAGGATTTGTGTTACATGGTTTTTTTAATGTAATTATTGCAAAAACATTTTTTTTTTTTTGTCTCCAGGTGGCACAGGTGTGCTATGGTGGCTGTATGCAAAGCAAAGAAAGTCTCCCAAAGAAACAGTTATTCCTGAACAGCTTCAGATAGCTGAAGACAATCTTCGGGCCCTCCTTATCTATGCTATTTCAGCTACAGTGTTCACAGTGAGTATAGGTCTAGGTGTATCTTTCAGGTTTGTGTTTTTATTTACAGGAGAACATTAATGGAGCAGAAACTCACCTGTAGCCTAACTTTGATCTTCATTAGATAAACTCTGTCCCACAGAAAATGACACCCTAAAAAGCCTTCAGAGGCTTCCCAGATTGATGAGTGCTATTTGGTACGTTTTATTCTGCAGTGCCTGCTTTTTGAGAAGATTTTCACCTAGAATATTTACATTATCATTTACTAGTAAGAATGTATATTCTTACTGGCATAAGATAATGTAATTACTTTTTATTTTTTTAAAGATTTTATTGGGAAATTGGGGAAGTAGAACAGTGTTGGGTAATTGGGGAAGGGGAACAGCCAAGGTGTTGTCCTTCAGTCTTAGTTGTGGAGGGCACAGCTTGCTCAGCTCCAAGTCCAGTTGCCATCTGGCTGCCTGTTGACAGCTTGTGGACGCTCAGCTCAGGTGCCATGTTCAATCTTAGCTGCGGGTGGATATAGCCCACCATCCCTTGCGGGAGTTGAACGGGCAGCCTTGTTGTTAGGAGCACGTGCTGTCACCAGCTGAGCCATCTTGCCACCTGTTAGCACCTCAGCTCACTGGCCCATGTGGGAATCGAACCAGCGACCCTGTTACTCAGAGTTTGCGCTCTTAACCAACTGAGCCAGTCGGCCGTCCCTGTAATCACTTTTTAGAAAATAGTTCTCTTTACTATAGAAAAGTATGTTAAGAAAAAAGTTGCCTCGTATCATTTCATTTATTTGTTTACTAATTAGTTTCTCTTTTTTTTTCTTTTAAACTTTTCTTTTAACAACAGTATTTCAAAAACCTAGGTGACCTTCACTGCCTAGCCACTATATAGTAAAATTACTAATTAACATATGGTTAAATAATCTGTATTCATATCTTTGCCTCATCTTCTCCTCTCTGAAAAAAGGAAAAAAACATCTCAGTGTACTTCTAGGTATAATCCCAAGCTTTTAATTGAGTGTTAGCAACAACAAAAAATAAAGCCACTGTAAAACCATTGGTGTGAGAATATATTTGTTTGTTATTATTGTGCAAATATTTATTAATCATCTTTTAAACGCAATTCTCTGTATCAGGGGTCAGGGCAGGAGTGGGGGCGGGCTGGGGAACAAAGGGTTAATCTCATATGGCCCCTGTACTTAGCGGCTCTTAGCCTCGATATGGGAGAAGTACAGTCATGGCTTGTGGTCCTCTCCCTTACTTTTCATAGTGACAAGCACGTATCTATTCAAATAAATTAAGTGTCTCATCCTCACTGACAAACAACACATTTTGATTCCTAATGAGCGCAGAAAGGAAAAGTAGAATTCTAGGATTTATTAATAAATTGAGAAATCTCTTTATTTAGCTTTAAAGGACATTTTCAATATGCAATCGAAAATAAGTGCTGCAAGAAAGAGAACAGACTAATAAAGTATTATTGGGACTCAGAGAATGAAACTTCCACTATTTAGAATGAAGGGTTACATTAAAAATTTCCACCACTGTTCAGTTTCTATTTTCACTATTTAACACAGTAACCGGAACCTTTCCCTCCATTCTCTCCACACAGGTCATCTTGTTCCTGATAATGCTGGTTATGCGCAAGCGTGTTGCTCTCACTATCGCCTTGTTCCATGTGGCCGGCAAGGTCTTCATCCACTTGCCACTGCTAGTCTTCCAGCCCTTCTGGACTTTCTTTGCTCTTGTCCTGTTTTGGGTGTACTGGATCATGACACTTCTTTTTCTTGGCACTACTGGTAAGAAGACATGTTGCTTCTTTCTCTTAGTGATAAATCTGATTTGCGTTGAAATATTTAAAAGATCAAAGAGATTTAATTCTTCAAATATTTATTGACTAAGGTCTAATAGACATCAGAACTAGCAGTGGTTATGGCTCTTCAATAACCCATTTTCCATTCGTGATTTTTAGGTTGTACTAGCAAAGTGGGTGTAAACCAGTTAAGCCTGAAGTTGCATCCTAGTTTGGGGATGGTCGTGGATCTGAAGGAAGCTCCTGTATTGACTCACATACTGACTCAGGCGTTTGGACCCATTCTAAGATGAACTAATAAGTGGAGCACCACTGTGGAGTTGCCTCACATCCCAGTTATAGCTAAAGATCCGCCTGCTTCCTTGGGATTTTCTAATTTGGAAATGACCTGAACCTAGCTAGAGCCCCTAGTGATGATACAGTTCATAGACTCTCAGACTTGCTGGTAGCCATACTTACTATCAAAGGTTATGCCTAAATGGCATTCATTGCGAAGGAGTAGTGGAAGGGTAGTAAACGTGTATGTAACTCCTCTGGCCATTCAACACACAGTCACTAATTGAATATAATATGAATTTCTGTACTTGGCTAGTAATTTAGGTCTATAATTATTGGACAAGTACTAGCTCTGAAAAGAAAGTTGAAGTATTTGAAAATTCATGCCTAAACTAAATAACTGGTAATGTGGTAAATTATTGTTGGAAATTAGATTAATCTCTTGAATTTAATAACCATCTTTCTTGGTTTACATTTTGTGTGCTTCTTCTTTTCTTTGATTTCTTTTTTCCTAGGCAGCGCTGTTCAGAACGACCAAGGTTTTGTGGAGTTCAGAGTTTCTGGGCCTCTGCAGTACATGTGGTGGTACCATGTGGTGGGCCTGATTTGGATCAGCGAATTCATTCTAGCCTGTCAGCAGATGACAGTGGCAGGAGCTGTGGTCACGTACTATTTTACTAGGTGAGGATTTATATTTGTCAGGAAACGTAAGATCGTCTAAGTGATTGTGCCAGGAGGGAATGGAACTGAGGCCTCGAAGAGTTTCATTTCTTGAAAAAAGTAATTGGAAGTGAGTATCATAAAATGTTATAGTTGATCATTCTGGAAGGTAGAAAAATGAGAGGTGCTTATTTTATCCTTTACACTTCTCTAAAACTTTCTCAAAAATGAATGAGAATGGCAGGCCATGACATTACATAAATTATATTTAGCGGTAGAAGAAATCTTGTAGTAGTGCCTTATGTACTTTTGCTTTATATAAAAGTCCATCAAAGGGCAGCAAGCATTTTTAGTTTGGATCAGAACAGTTCAGTGACTTCCTTTCCTAACTTCAGAGCTGGATATAAGCTGTGGGCCTTTTAGTTTTCCATTATAATGAGATACCAGGTCTAGATGGAACATCTTTTTAAATTCAATTTTTTGACTGTACAATTAACTCCATAAATATTTACTAATAAAAGCTTTCAAAGCACAGTTTTATTTAACTTAAAATATTAAAGCAGAAGAACCCCATGAAACTACCATAGAGAAATGAAACATTAATTTTATATGGTACATCTGTAGCATTTATATTCGTTGTACTGTATTACTTCGCCATTTTGTCATAAGGCTCTGAATAAGAAAAATGAACCAGTTTTTCACTGCATTGGACTCTGAACCATTCCTGTGTTTCCATCCTAGGCTAGGCTTTGTTTTAATTGTCTCTTTGGTCATTTTAAAAATAGGGATAAAAGGAATTTGCCATTTACACCTATTTTGGCATCAGTGAATCGCCTGATTCGTTATCACCTTGGTACTGTGGCAAAAGGATCTTTCATCATCACTTTGGTCAAAATTCCACGAATGATCCTTATGTACATTCACAGTCAGCTGAAAGGAAAGGTAAGGGGAAAATACTTTTCTGGTACTTTCCGTGGGCACATTCCAGACCTCAGTTCTGCATGTAGTAAAGTACCCAAGGAGGTTTTAAGTAAAAAGCTATGAATGTTTTCTTCAAAGTCCCGGCAAAGTGGAACCCAGTCCTTCCCGCCTTGTCTCCCACTCTTGCACTCCATATGCTCTGGCAAAATCCATCTCATCCCTGGTTTCCAAAATCCTGTGCTTCTCTTCCTCTGTGTGAGCTCTCACACCTTCCTCCTTAGAACCGCTTCCCTGTCCTTGACTGTGGAAATAACAAGCATTTCAACATAGCTTAGCTCAAATGCCACCTCTTCCTAGAAACCTTCCTCCATTCCTCCCATCTCCCAAATGATGTTGTTTCTCTCTGTTCTCCACTTTCATGCACTAGTATCTATCTCACATTCTGATTCTAACCTTTTTTTATGTTTAGCGTTTTTATTTTTCTTCTCTACTAGATTATAAGTTTCTTGCTGGTCATATATACCTCACTGTGCCATATGTATAATAGGTACTAAATAAATGTTAAACTGATTAAGAATAATCCAGCCATTAGATTTTGAGGGGAAAAGAGAGGGTATGGAAGTTTTGAAGCAGAGATTGTGATTTTTAAAATTTTATTTATTTTTCTAACATTTAGAGTATCCTGCATGATGGTTTGATTTCTTGGTTTTTTAATTATTTCAACGTTTCCTTCTTTCCAGGAAAATGCTTGTGCTCGATGTATGCTGAAATCTTGCATTTGTTGCCTTTGGTGTCTTGAAAAGTGCCTAAATTATTTAAATCAGGTAAAATCTTTTAAAAATAAATCTAACATTCATTTTCAAAGATAGGTTTGTTATTTCTTTTTTCAAGATAAAATGATTGCAATTAATTGAGAGATGTTAATGTTTTTCTCATGCTGTTTGTACATTGGACTTTGATCAAGTATACCTATTTCAATCATATTCTTATTTCTAAAAGTAACATATGTTTTTGCCAAGGCTCATTATTAATTAATTGTAATACATGGATAAAATATCATTAGGATTTATCTCAGGAAAGACATTTATCTCTTATCCCGTAATTCACATCCTTTCATCTTTGATTTTCTCTAAGAATCTGTCTACTCTAGCCCATAGTTCTTTAATTCTTTTTAGAAAAATAACCGAGTTGAGCCACAGCAAACAAGTGTGTAGGCACACAATGTCAATTGTCTGGGTAACCAGTTTGTTGCCACTGCTTTAAAGAATTTAGAAGATAATAGTAAAGGAGCGTGTTGATAGGGATGTGGGGTAGGCCAGTCGTTTTGCAGCAAAGTATGAAGTCCCCAGTCCCAAACTGTCTCCAGTGCCACACAGCATGGGAAACGCAGCTGTCTTCAAAAAAGAGCTTTCAATTTTTTTTAAATGAGCCATTTGGTTTTGACAGCACAGGTGTAAGAGTTTTGCAAATAAACAGAGTGAACTGTGAACTGCCCTTTGTTTCTGTGGATGCTTATCTTAATGTGAAGTGAAGGTGACTACATATCTAATCTAACAGGTAGAATTCACTTGAGGTAGAGAGATGGTTACAGCTGGAATCTGTTTCTCTTGGGCTTTGGATTACTCAGGCCATGGTTGACCTCGGCACTATTTGGAGACAGTACATTTAACACTGGAGGGTATCTGCTCTCTGGCTGATAAGCTCTTAAGGTTATAAAGCTTTTCTCTACTTAACATGAGTGGCAGTTGTAGAGAATATTCTTTGAGTACCTACTACCTGATACTATACTGAGCACTTTATATACATTATCACTTCCTGTCCACAACTCTGTAAGGAAAGTTCATTTCCTCTGTTTTATGGATGAGAAAATTGAGACTGGCACCTCCAGGCAGATCACATAATCCAGAGGTGGAGGATGTTTTCAAATCTAAGTTTGCCTAGCACTTGACCTGCTATCACACTGCCTCTTGTATAAATCCATGTGTGTTTTGTGGCATATAAAGAAAACTGAAGTATAGTTTATTATGGAGAATATGCAAGCTTCTCAAAGTCTAAAAACTCAAAGGCTAAAAGTCGACAAACTTAGAATCAAACTGAATGAAATCAGTGGTATATTTAACTTTGTGCCCCCTCCACCCCTCCCTCAAAATAAGAAAGGGATCATTTTAATTGCCTTTTCCCTTATTTAATTTATACTGATCCACATATAGAGTTGCACATATCCTATTCCCCTTTTCCTACCATTACTGTCTA